AAAAAAAAAAAAAAAAAAAAAAAAAAAAAAAATACAACTAAAGCGGTTAGTGTAATGCACAGAACAAATCTGCCGCGACGTTCGACACGCGTTTGTGTGTGTGCGCACGCGCGGGGTGCAAAACTGCTATCCTCGTGTATGTCCTTTTAAAAAACATCCACTTGGTCGTTGTTCTAATCACTCTGGTGTACTGCTCAAAATGGATAATTACCACTTATGCATGGGAGATGTGCTTTATTTAAAAATTTTTTTTTTTCTCTCTCTGTCCCATGCACTTGATAAAAAATGTGTGCTCCAGAACACTATGATGAACTGATCCAGCTCGTGCAAATAAATGCGCGTACACACTGTTGTATACGCACGTGCGGTAAAGAAATTAAAGCGTCACACAATCAGGGAGGAGAGAAAATAAAAAAAAAACAGGGGGAAGGCAAACAAGCATTCGCGCGCTCACGCGTGGAGTTTACGTCACGAAGGTGTATGTGATTAAATGACCAGGTGGTCTGCTTCAAAATTGAAAAGTAGCATACGAAGGGGCGGTAGTCACGGTGGCAGTTGCAGTGGCGACGTAACTCGTATGCCTTCTGCGCGCCAACAAATAACATGAAGCAATAAAAAAAAAAAAAAAAAAAAAAAAAAAAAAAAATACAACTAAAGCGGTTAGTGTAATGCACAGAACAAATCTGCCGCGACGTTCGACACGCGTTTGTGTGTGTGCGCACGCGCGGGGTGCAAAACTGCTATCCTCGTGTATGTCCTTTTAAAAAACATCCACTTGGTCGTTGTTCTAATCACTCTGGTGTACTGCTCAAAATGGATAATTACCACTTATGCATGGGAGATGTGCTTTATTTAAAAATTTTTTTTTTTCTCTCTCTGTCCCATGCACTTGATAAAAAATGTGTGCTCCAGAACACTATGATGAACTGATCCAGCTCGTGCAAATAAATGCGCGTACACACTGTTGTATACGCACGTGCGGTAAAGAAATTAAAGCGTCACACAATCAGGGAGGAGAGAAAATAAAAAAAAAACAGGGGGAAGGCAAACAAGCATTCGCGCGCTCACGCGTGGAGTTTACGTCACGAAGGTGTATGTGATTAAATGACCAGGTGGTCTGCTTCAAAATTGAAAAGTAGCATACGAAGGGGCGGTAGTCACGGTGGCAGTTGCAGTGGCGACGTAACTCGTATGCCTTCTGCGCG